CCATCACAGACCGTGGCAGAGAACCCCAGAGACCATCACAGACCGTGCCAGAGAACCTTCGGACGCATCACAGACCGTGACAGAGGAACCAAATACCCATCACAGAACATAACAGAGAAACCCTAATACCCACCACAGACCGTGACAGAGAACTCCAAAGGCCATCACAGACTGTGACAGAGAACCCCAGAGACCATCACAGACCGTGACAGAGAACCTTCGGACCCATCACAGACCGTGACAGACAAGCTTCAGGGATCATCATAGACTGTGAAAGAAGAGTTCAAGGAAGCATCAGAGATAATGCATAACTAACACATGATTGGAGCATATATGAGGTATTATCCTGTTTCAGTTCTATAATGTAAAGTAAGCCACGATGAAGAAATGTACACCAATATGCATAAAAAAGAACAATTTTTATAAGATTGGCAACAGCAGGTACATCGTGTTTCACATTTTTAATCCCGCAAGGGATTGCGCTAACAGCTTTTTTGCAATGAGTCATAAGAAAAATTTTACAACACGTTCAAGATCAAATTTCCCTCTCAGAGAAGCAAATATGAGTATACATTTTATGATGGAGATATTAAAATTAAAAAAGAACGCATTTTTATGAGTTTCTTTTTGTTCGATTTCAAGAACTTGAAGTTTGCAAAAAGTACATTTTAATAATCCAATCGTTTATTTACATGTTAAAATGTTTCTTTTTCGTATTTCCATGTTGTTTTAAATGAAGATAAATAGAAGTTTGTAAAGAATTCAATTATGCATCTATCAAATACAAATTCTGACTATCTAATAAAGATTCACACCCTCCAAATTACGTATAAAATCTAGATATCCATATGTTATCCTATGGACAGCGTCGATTGGATTAGTATTTCTCTTCTTAGCATTTCAAAATTATAAGTCACTAGTGGAAGTACCCAACGTTTTCCGGAAAAGTTCAGTATTAATATATGCAAGCAAAACTCCTATTGCGCTCGAGAACATATCAGAAAACCTAATCAGTAGAGAGTAGATACGCACAAAACTCTATTTTTTCTTCCGGTCCTGGTTATGGCTCTTGGACATATTTCAAGTCACGGCCGAGGCTGCTCTCGCTCTCCGCGGATATGAAATACTGACATTGAAAAATTGATCAGAAGCGAAGGATTCTTCGTCGTTACACGTCTAGATCAAGAAGAACTTGATGAAACTTATGAGTTCTATCGACTTTTTATCTTGGCCAAGCATTTATAAGAGCATATACCCATCTCGATCGACTCCGGTCGTACTTGGTCACGTTCCCGGTTCCAGAGCTGTATAGTTATGTGTCTAGTGAGGAGCTCACGTGGACAATCGATTCTTCGACATTGTCGCAAGAAAAATCCGCTTTGATCGAAACTAAGCACAACGACACATCTAATTGATCTAGAACGTCACATTTTGTACTACTGAAATCACACTGAATTCCAATTGATTCCAAAGAAAGATAGACAGAAAGATTTTCGTGGGACAGATCCTTTAACAACCTAAGGAGTCGATATCTATGACGCACAAATTTTCAGCGTCATACGCTATTTATTCGAAATCCCTGCCTTACACGACCTCCAGGAATCAACTTCCACAAAAGCTGGATTTGTGTATGACATGGGCCACCCTTGATATTCGTTTTCTCAAAAACTCGATTCCTATTGGTTTCTGGCCAATCAATAAGATTTGGAAACCTGTAGCTCCATGTTTTTCTGTGTGTTCATGAAGTGCTACTCAATAGTACTTCTATAGTACCGAATACTGCAATCTGATTGGTCAGCAACATAGGTATGCTTTTTGTGGGCAAAAGACCAATTCTTTTTGAAAAAAAAGGTGTTGACCTTCTCTTGGGTGAGAAGAGGATTCCTGGAACATTTGATTGCATTCGCTCGTACGGTGAGGAAATGCATAAAGAACAGACAGACAGATAAGCATCCTTCTTTATATATAAGATCAAATTCTATAGATCCACCTGAATTGTCCTATGACGTGAAAAGCATCCTCAAAGTTCTCCAACAACAGGGATTAGATTTGGCATCCTTCTAACAAGATGCAAATAGAATTTTCTCAGGATTTTCTCAGTTTAGGAGTTTTACATAGTTCTTCTTGTCTAATGTTCATGTAAATCATCATCCGACAAATAGATTCCGCATTCTCGCAATTCCGAATAAAATCCTCAGATCTCTATGTTTTTCTATCAAAAGCTTACATGGAATTAGCATTATTCTTTATCGGACAGATCTCCTTACAGCAATCTCCAGGTATTATCTTTAGGGTCAAAAAGATCTTGGCAAAAACTAAAAGTGACATACATGTAAGAATCGTTATCAAATCCTTTTTTCTCATAGAAAACTAGGAAAAGACTTCTGAATTTTTATCTGTGGAATGAGCATTCTGAAAGATGAATGTCGTATTTATAGCGCTTACTCCCACGAGAGATGGAATCTCTTCGACAACCACGATTCCTTTTCTTTTTTGTTCATTGTAGTAATTCCCAGTATTCCAGAGAAGCCGTCATAGATATTGATTAGAATCGACATTTGTGTACTAGGCAGAGATGAGTAACTACACTATGTCCCGCTCGAACTCCACATAACTCCAGTCCTATTTTCTAAAACTCCACATCAATTTCAACTGCACTGTGTTCCGCTCCAACCCTACACCACTCCACTCCTTTTTCATAAAATCCTACTCCAACTCCGATTTAACTTCAATTCTAGTTGGATTTTACAAAGCTGAACTTCTGCCAAAATACTTTTAAATACACATAAGTTTTTAAACTTAATTAAATCTACGATTGATATCAATTAGTAGCACATTAATTTATTGCTTTATATACTTTCACATAAAATTCAGAGATAGGCAACATCAACTTTGGAGTTGAAATTGCCCATCTCTAATATCAACCTTTTCAAAATACTTACTCTTCAGATCCTCCTGAATATATTCATAACATGCGAACTTACAGAAGACTTCTCAGAACAAGTACTACATAAGGATTATAGCATGATCCTCATAGAAGATATTCATTATTTTTAGATTTTCAGATTTTGACAGAGTATCTTATTTAGTCATCAAGATTCTCTTCGAGGACCCTTATACAATGGTTTGAAGATGGTGTTCATCAAAAGTTAAAAATAGCATTTTAGAACACTTTCTTTTCAAAGCCCACAAAATCCATAGATCCCAATGTTTGTCACTGGAGAACTCCGTTAGGATTGACATCCATCTTTTCAGCATTTGCAAAAGTAGGCGCCCTCTCAGATTACATAGATTCGCGTGGAATCCTCTCAACTTTGTTCAGTTTCGCCTGTATCCAAACCTTCTCATGATCTTACTCAGAATACATCACGGTTGTTCTTCGAACAGCTTCACATAACTTATCAAAAGCCTTATAAAATTTCACCGGCATTCTCTATGCAAATACTTAGAAGATTCTTCGCAGATCTACATTCATCATACAGAAATCATGCATCCTTAAGGCTTCCTAAAAAACATAGGGATTATGTTTGATATTTTGTTGTTCAACGATTCGATATTCTTCTCACAAGATACAGATAGAATCTTCTCTGATGTTCATATAAATGATCATTCTGCCAAAAAGATTCTGAATTCTTGCAATTCTGAAAAAAAAATCCTCAGATCCTTATGTTTTTCTATCAAAAACTTACATGGAATTAGTATTACTCTTTCTTGGAGAACCTCCTTACAACAATCTCCAGGTGTTATTTTTATGATCAAAAAGATCTTGGCAAAAACTAGAAGTAACATAGATGTAAGAATCGTCACCAAATCCTTTTTTCTCATAAGAAACTAGGAAAAGACTTCTAAATTTTTATCTGTGGAACGAGCATTCTTAAAGATGAATGTCATATTTGTAGCACTTACTTCCACGAGATCCCTTCGACAACGACGATTTCTTTTCTTTTTTCGTTCATTGTAGTAATTCCCAATATTCCAGCCGATGCCCGATGGGCCCAGAAGGGAGTGACTGTTGCTGGAGGCCATGGACAAGGCAGTGCTACCAACCAACTCAACTTGCCTTGTGGTCTCGTCGTTGATGACGATCAAACGATAGTCATTGCTGACTGCTACAATCATCGTATCATCCAATGGAAGATGGGTGATACGAATGGACAAGTTGTAGCTGGTGGCAATGGCCGAGGAAATCGATTGGATCAATTGAATTTACCAACTGATGTGTTGATCGACAAAGAGACGGATAGTTTCATTATTTGTGATTGGCAGAATCGACGAGTCGTACGATGGTCTCGTCGTAGTGGTACAACTCAAGGAGAAATTCTCATCGCCAACATCGTTTGTTGGGGATTAGCCATGGATGATCAGAGATATCTCTACATCTCTGACACTGACAAACATGAAGTAAGACGATATCAAATAGGAGACAAGAATGGAGCTCTTGTAGCTGGTGGAAATGGCACAGGTGATGGTCTCAATCAACTCAACGTGCTGAGATACATCTTCGTCGATCAACAACAGAATGTCTACGTGTCAGACAACAACAATCATCGTGTGATGAAATGGAATAAAGGTGCAAAAGAAGGAATTGTCGTCGCTGGAGGTCAAGGACAAGGGGATGCTCTGACACAATTGTCGCATCCTTGCGGACTGTTCGTCGATACATTGGGTACCATCTATGTGGCAGACGCGTGGAATCATCGAGTGATGCGTTGGCCTAAAGGAGCGAAACAGGGCACTGTCATTGTGGGTGGAAATGGTCAAGGAGCAGGAGCAAATCAGTTCAACTGGCCCATCGGTTTGTCCTTCGACCAACATGGCAATATCTATGTCGTCGATAATGAGAATCATCGTGTTCAACGCTTTTCAATCTAATAGACTCGTCGTGATAGATTTTTTTGCGTTCCTTTCGTTTCAAATATATCGCATTGAATTGACGAAATGAATGGCTTATTGTATTCGCGCGCGCGACCAGGAACCATCCTGGTGGAGCCGTGGCGAGCGTAACGCTCATGCACGCACAGGACAGACTCATATCATTCATACCCTCCCCGCGAGAGATATGTCAATGAGTCTGAATAAGCCTGGTCGTGTGCCACGGACACCAAGACAGTTCCTGGCCGGGCTTTTAGGGACTGCCCGGAAGTCCTGTAAAGATGACAGTAGCCTAATCTCAACGGGCATAACTCACCCACTCTCTACTAACACTCACTACCTATTCTGATCTCAAAAAACAAACAAAAAATTACTTACCGTGTCTGATGTTGATGACGCGATGATATTGATAGCTGAAAGGAACAGAAAAAAAAATTTAATCAATGTTATTTAATGAAATAGAATGAGATGACTTACCCTAATGTTATCGTTTTCTTCATTGTTTATTCCCTAAAATTAAAAAAATAATAAAAAGATCAAAGGAGGTCTTACCCCACCATTCTTATGATCGTAAAATTAAAAAAAAGAAAGAAGAAGTAAAACTGATACCTACATTTTTTTTTATTGTATGGCTTGATCTTGATTTGATTAATTTTGTATCATCGAGGCCAATCTAAAACAGAAAACAAAAATTATTATTATTTGATTCAAAAATTTGAATGATTTTACATAGAAAATCAATCGTATATATACCTTGAAAAATCATTTTTTTCTCTCGTCGAAAATGATATACATATTTAATTGTACATGTTGATCATTCATCGTCAATGATAACAACATGAACAATGATTTATGGACGAGAGAAAGACAAAAAAAAAAGAAAATTCCTCTCTTCACATATATTTCTTTTTTCTTTCCTTTCTCTCTTGTTAACATTAACACATATAATGATTTATTTATGAGTTTTTTTAGATTGTATCTCATTTGGAATGAAAATGAAATTGTTTTGTTTATTTTTATTAATGATAATCAATAACAACATTTATGTATAATTATAATGTTAAAAATTGTTGATTCAATTTCATAGACTGTCGAAAAAAACAAAACAATGGAAGTTTTTAAACACTTAAATTTTTACAATAATATTCTTTTGGATGAACATATCTAAATATCAACAAAATTTTAAATCAATATAATCCATCACAGAAGTTTGAAAAAATCTTTCTTTGTTAGGTGGATTTATTACAACAGAAAAGAATGAAATAAGATATATTCTTCTTTTGAATAAAAATTTATTTATATCAACATATCTATTCTATACACATCAAGATCAACAATTTGTTATTCATGTACAAGTATGTATTAATCAATAAAGAAAAAAGATTAAAAAATGTATATATAATAATGTTTTTAGTGATTTGGAGAATTTTATGTTTAATGAATAATGTTGATAAATTCATGTGTACAATTAATTTAACTAATAATTAAACAACAACATCGTCAGATTTCTTCATTATTATTATTTTCATCATCAACATATGATTCATAGTCCATTACTTGATTTATTATTCAATACAACTATTAAAACGAAAATATGAATTAATACTATACCAAATTCGGAAACATTTTAATATTAATAAAAATGAGTATGTATTACATGACAATATTGTTATAAAGAACAAAATTTTAACATATATAATTAGTATTTAATTGGAATGGAATATAAGAGAAATCGAATGAAAATTAATATTAATTTTACAATGTTATTAAATATTATTCAAGTAAGATAATTATTCAATGAAATATATTTTACTAGTTAAAAAAAAATTATAGTGTCTGTTGAGTTACTTGTGAAAATATTCTGTTGTTAATAGACTCGACCAATGTTATTGTCGCAAAAACTATATTTGCAAAAGAAAAACATCATAAAATGATTAAGTATCAACAGACTCGATATTTTTCCAAGATTTTTACTCGTCATATACTTAAGAAAAAAACTATGTATACTTTTTCTATAAACATTATTTGATTGTTCGATACTATAGCAAAGTCTGAATACGAACTCGCTTCTCAGCAATTAAACAATAGTTTTCAAAAAGAATGCATAATTTTTTTTCTGTTTATTTATCAGTCGAATAAAATCATTAGAAAAAAATTATCGAGTGTAACGAGACTTGGTACCTTTGACGTATTTCAGTTTTCATAGACTATTATGGAATTCTTCTCGTACTAAACCAGGGTTGCCAGATCGAAAAGTTAGAAATCGAAATGTTTTAACCAAAATTCGAAAAAATTCGGAATTTTTTATATTCTACTTCGGTAAAAGTTCGGAAAGCAGTTATTTTTTTATCAAATATATATACGACCTTTTTTATGGGCATATTTATTGCTCTATCAACATTTTGTGCAAAAATTGTTGCCGATATACTTATTTCTTTCTTCAATCTCACTTAAATTCACATCTGAATCATCATCTTCATCATTCATGGCTGAATTTAATTCAGGGTAACAAGAGACAATTTTCATGTAAAAAAAACACTTTTCTAAACTTAAAGTTCAGTCCATGTCAAAGAAGTTATTGATTCAAATGACATTTTTTTTAAACAATACAAAGTATTCATTGAGTTCGGATAGATTTTAAACTCGAACGATCTTACATTATAAAGAGTCTCAAAATTGTATTATGGAATGATTACAGTAAAACAACGACAGCGCAAGAATTGCTAATGAAAGTTAAATTAGAAGTTATAACCAAAGTCATTAAATCTCGAATCTAGAGAAATAACAGGTCTCGAAAAAATATTCAAAATTCGAAAGAGTTTGGAAAAAGTACCAAAATTCGGAAGATCAGGCAGCCTTGTACTGAACTAATCATTCATATTGTACAGTAGCGTGCGACATAAGTCAAAATTCTTGTGATCCGATTGAAGTCGGACACTTATTGAATTTTAATTGCAACAATGATGGACTAGTTGAATTTTCTTGTATTACATTAGCTCATCTATACAGATCGTTACTTTCATTTTCGAATGAACTATTTTTTGTAATCAATTCCAATATTATTTTTCATATAACTTTTATTTTGTTTTCTTAAGGTAATTTTATGTCATTGAATAGATAATGTAAAAAATAAAAATTATTTCGAATAGATTCGTGAACATAACATTGGATTAGGTGGACAATATTGAGTTGTATTTAATGATACGACTTATTCAACGTTTACTTAAATATACATCAATAAAACATATTGATTATCAATTATTAATTGATTCATTGGGCAAATTACGTGAAATAGCAAAAAAAATTAAATGAACAAAGTAGAAAAGCGGAAAAACATTTATCAATGTTTAATATTGTTCATATTATTGATAATTGTCGAGTAAGAAAGTGATTCCGATAGTATTAAGTACGTTTTGTTATTGTTAAATTTTAGTCAGAGTTTCTTGCTGCGCATCGTGATTATATAGAAATATTTCAAATAATTGAACTTTCACAAGAATTAAGAACAACATGAACACATTTAACTGTTTCTTTTCTCCAATTGTCTTGAATATATGTGAAAAACATTCGGTATAAAAATATATTGCACTCATTCAATTGGGGAATATTCAAAGTTTATTTGATATTAATCCATAATCATTAACAATTGATGATAAAATGATTAACTGTTTTTGTTTTTTGTAGAACTCACATTACGTCTTTCTTTTCGAAGAAAAATAGAATAAGTGTAAGTTTTAGAGATATGCTAGACGAAAATTTGGAGGTTTGCCGAATTCTTACTCATCATATTTCCATTAGAATCTATTTCATATTTCTCATAGCATTCTGATGGTAATCGTTTAAGAATGCGATCATTATAGACTTTTACTTTAAAAGTACTAAAGGTTATATAGTTATATATTGTATGACTTTAAGTGTATAAATAAAAAGAAAACGAATATTGAAGAAGTTTTTAGATGTGATACGATTCAACAGTGGAGTAGTTTTCTCTAGACAAAAACTCATACCCACACCTTTTACAGGAAATGGTGAAAGAAACTCATCCGAAAAAAGTAAAGAATGTCAAAGATGAGAAAAATACGAAAATTATATTAACTTCAAAAACAAAAACGGGTAAAATTTGATTTCTCATGTATTCATTTATAATCTGGTAAAAATTTTTCACTTCAAGTATTTGGGAGGAGTATAATGAGACTAAAGAACACATGTGAGTTCTACATTATAGTCCTCAACGAGCTGCACTGACACAATCTCTATTTTTATTTAAATAGAATTTTTCTAATTCAAGAAATTGAACAATTTGGAATACTTTGTTCAATTGATGGTCATACACATATCTTCATTATCATCAATTTCAACATTATCGAATAGTACTCATCACCATGGGAATAAGAAAATCTATGTACTTTATCAGTTAGCAGCTAAAGCGATTCTCGTAGTGTACAATTTTTATTTTAGTTTTCACTTATTCAAACATCACTTGAGAATTCAGACATTGATCCAGGTTGACGTTCAACTAGTTGTCTAAATTTATTAGATTTAGCATTTAAACGTTTTGAAAATTTTCCTTTTTTTTTAAATTAATTAATATTGAATAAATATATTTATATATGTTTAAATTTTAGTGGTCTTCATAAAGCAAAGAAACGAGTAAGTGGAGCTTTTTTATTCAATCCAGAACCTAATAAACATTTAACAAAAAAAACAATTAATTGTCCAGTTCATTTATTAGAAGGTGAATGGTCAGATAGTTTCGATTCAAGTAAACAAATGAGCGTATGATCAAGGCAAGTAAGTATTTCAAATGAGAATTTCTCATAATTAAACTAAAACATTCAGAAAATTTTGACTCATCTAACAACTGGAAGAAATCGAAAATGCGTGTGCTCATAAAGACTAGTGCTTCGATAGAAAGATTATTTGGCTTAGTTGGATTGACATTTACTGAATGACGAATATGTTTAACATCAAGTCAAAACTTTCAAATATATTATTTATTTTTTCTTGTTGTCTATCTATTGATATTGATTGCATTTCGAATAATTAATATCTGAAGCTTGTTTTATTCAGCTTATGAGATAGCATGGTGACCAAATATCCTGATTGGTTTGTTTTTTTCTTGTGACTGTAGTGATATATTAAATCATGGGAAAAACGAACGAAATAAAAACTATTGTTTGGCTCAATGGACGTAGCTATGAGGAAAGTAGAAGTAACTTCTACTGAATTACTTTTAAAGTAATTCAAAACAAAATTTATTGAAGCCCAAATAGAAATTTAATAGATGAACGATTCAATAATCATCTCTAAACTGATTAAGATCACATAGAGTACAAAAGCCTTGATACTAATTATTCCTTTACATATTGCTGAGTTAAACTTGCATTAATTGATGTCTGTACAGAACAAAATCAATATTTTCGTCATTTATAACTTGTCTAAATTTATGATGTAATAGACTTTTAGTCTTCCTTCTGCTATGCGTATATGTAATTAGATAAAGAATTTTGTAGAACTAACTTCATGCTATAAAGTTAGGTTTTTGAATTGAATAACTTTTAGCTAATATAAAAGAAAAGATGAGTCAAATAAAATTTTTGTATCGATTTAAGTTTGAAGTTGTTTTAAACATTTACTTATATTACAGAAAGTTTGAATTAGAATATCTTAGGATAGGAAAAAACTAGAAAAATTACAACTTGCCCAAAGATTTAATCTCATGTTTATGCAAAATTCGAATTCGAAAGTCAATTTTTCCTATGATCTCAGTAGGATTACAGGTTTCTGTTGAAAGTTGAATTTTTGTTTGCTCTATTTGGATTAATATAATCTATTTTTCAGCAGAATTTAACAATATTTTTTCAATTCCGAATTCATTTATGTCTTCGTTGTTCTAGAATTCATTCGTGAAAACTGTCCATCATTTGGATTCTTCACCATTTATGTAATCTATTCAAGAACATAAATTCGTCGAAGATTATCTTTAATTCTTTTATGTCCGATATCTTTCACTTCTCTTCTTTTTTTTTCTGTATATCAGTAAACTGTTATTCAATAGTACTTCAATATATATATATATATGGACCTGACCAACCATAGAATACCCTGATCCGTTTTCTTTCTATTATCATTTAAAAAGCCTAATCATATTCGGGCCAAATTATCACTCTCATCGCTAAAACTACTAAATTTAAAATATTAGCTACTGACGGCTATCTTATATAGAATTCTTCAGTCCCTTAAAAAACATTAGGACATGATTTCAGGAACTGAAAAATTTGATATAAGATAGCCATCAGCAGCTAAGATTTTAAATTTAGTAGTTTAATGATGAGGATGATAATTTGGCCCGAATATGGTTAGGCTTTTCAAATGATAATAGAAAGAAACCAAATCGAAGTATTCTATGGTTGGTCATCTTTTCTATTGCATCATATTATTTTGAAATCAGAGTACAGAATGACATAGAAATAAAACATATTTTTATGCAACTGATTTTCAGATAATAACAGCATCGAACAATACAGGCCATATTAATTTACAAAATTTAAAAGTCGAAGAATCGGCCACCGCAACTACGGATAAAGTGTTTAAACTAAAAAGGTTTTAATCGATCGCCAGAAGAAGTTGAGAACACTTCGAATCAATGATCAAAGACACTATTGACGCTCAATAAATCAAAATCGAATGAAAACATTGAAGAAATGATTGATCTATTGTTGAAATATAAAACACTTGCGTAGCTGAAATAATTCTCTATAAGCGATAGTAAGTCCAAAGACTTCAACACAACTGCATTGATTAAGATCTTCGGAAAAAAAATTCCATTTGATGGAGAAAAATAGGGCGTCGCCGAACTTTTCATGTACTTCCTTCATCGGCTTGTTTTTGATTTATGAAGAGCGCGAAAGGCAATTCCATGAAGGAAATTGATGAAGAGTTTGGAGACGTGTCATTTTGCTCTATCCAATAAAAAATTTTTCTCAAAATCTTCGAATAGATATGAGAGGGTGTGGGTGTGAGTGTGAGTTCTTGTTTCCTTCACACCCACATCCACATCCACACCCACCCCACACACCTACATCCATCAGAATCTAAACATGCAAAACGGTAAAAAAGAATGAAAACAACTAATTCTGAATAAAGAATCCAATAGATAACAATTATGAAGCCTACAAAACAACAAATATTCCCAGGCGAGCAAAGGGTGAGTAAAAAGCAAGGGGGAAATCACGTACTCCGGTACTCCCGTACTCCGTGTACTCCGCTGTACTCCCGTACTCCCATTGTACTCCCTGGACTCCGGGAGTACATGGGAGTACAGGGAGTCCAAGAGATACAATTTTTATATACGAAACTGTATCACAGGTACCTTCGTCATTCACTATAAATATTAATATTTTCTTTTGAATGAAAGTACCCATAAGTCCTCATGCCCTGTCTTATGGCGTATCCATAAGTCCTCAAAGCCTATCCTTCGGGAGTGCCCATAAGTCCTCATGGCCCATCCTATGGAGTGCCCGTAAGTCCTCAACGCCTATCCTATGGGTATACCTATAAGTCCTAATGGTCTAGCCCATGGGATGCCCATAAGTCCTCAAGAGCTATCTTATGGCGGTACTCATAATCTCTCAAGGACTCTCTTATAGGGGTGCCTATAAGTAGGTGTGTGACAGCTCCATACTGAATAAAGATCTTGAGATACGAAACGTAAAAAGAGTTTCGTGCATGCTTTGAAACCCTTGAAGAGTTTCGAGATTTGAAACGAGCTCGAAACCCATTTTTGGTTTCGTATAACACTATGAAACCCTCAACTTCTTTTCAGAGTTTCGTGGTATTATACGGAACTAAAAAGGGAATCCGAGTTGATTTCAAATCTCGAAATCGTTTAAGGTTTTCGTAGTATGCACGAAACCCTTTTTTAGGTTTGACATCTCAAAATTTTTTTCAGTGTGGCACTGTCACAAACCTAGTTATAGGTACTCCTAGAGGACAGCCCTTGAGGACTTATTAGTATCTCCATAGAATAGCTCTTGAGAATTTATAGGTAGTCCTTAAATAGCCCTTGATGATTTATGTGTAGCCCCATAGGAGAGGTCGAGGATTATGAAGACCTCCATAGGATAGGTCTTGGAGACTTATGAAGACCTTCATAGGATAGGTCTTGAAGACTTATGGATACCTCCATGGGATAGGCCGTGACGACTTTTGGATATCCCATAGGATAGGCAAGGATGATTGATGAGCACCCTCATAGGATAGACGTTGAGGACTTACACTGAAAAAAATTGCTACGATACCGAACCGAAAAG